CAGAATCAGGACTACAGTTTATCCTTCCCTTTTTCCAGGATTTCTTTTTCACAGCCAAATATAGCCGAGATAAAATGGACCCTCAGAGCCAAGGTGTTGTCTTTGGACTTGGTTTAGTTTAAGACAGACTTGTTATGTTTTCCATTAGACGGACAAAGCAAAGCACAAAATCAGGCACTGCTGTTAGGTCTGCGTTTCAGCTACTGTGATTACTTTCAAATACATTTAAAAAGAAAGAGAGGCAGAGAGGGAAGGAGGAAGGAAAGAAAGAAGGAAGGAAGGACAAAAGAAAAATAATGAACATACAAGCTCAGTTTTCAATTGAGAGTCTGGTACACTAGATGAGATGTTCCTCTGACCTTTTCTTAAAGCATTTGTCTTTGACCTGCTCTGACTTTAGAGGCTAAAATAGTATTCTGATATTTTTTATGAGAGTGGTAGCAGAAAAAAAATGAAGGTTTTCAAGTTTGGCAAAATCTGTACAAATTGTTACTGAAACCATATACTGCTCGGGTCCGTGGAGATGACAGCCTGTTGGTCAGCATTTGATTTGTAAGCATTCTTAAAAGTCAGGATGATGAGGGGCGCCTCATGGTTTAAGCCTCTACCTTCGGCTCAGGTCGTGATCTCAGGGTCCTGGGACTGAGCTCCGCATGGGGCTCTCTGCTCGGCAGGGAGACTGCTTCCTCCTCTCTCTCTGCCTGCCTCTCTGCCTACTTGTGATCTCTGTCAAATAAATAAATAAAATCTTAAAAAAAAAAAAAAGGATGATTTTTTTTTTTTTAATCTTTCTTCATTCCTAGGAAGTAAAAAAAACTTGGCTTTTAGGTAGAGAGACACTGAAAAATAGTGACAAATACTCTTCATTTGACCAAATTTTTTAATCAGTCTTTTAAATTTTCTCCATGGCCCATCTGTGCACTTCCTTGTAAAATCCAGTTTTAGCAAGAATCCTGCTAGGTCAGTTTAACCTGAACCCCCCATATCTGATCACCCTTCAATATCTGGTCGGGTTCCCCATTTTCTACCCCCACCAGGTGATGTCTGATCACCCTGGCCTATCTTCATAAAGAACCCTGTTAGGTCAGTTTAGCCAGAACTGCCCTTATGCCTGATGTTTCCTCTTAGTGATTTTCTGTCTACAGACCCCCACCCTGCTTGTTGGCAGGGTGTTCCCATGTGTTGATGTGGTATTTGGAGTTGAGTCCGGTCTCTCTCCCCTGTCATAAAATCCCATTGCGGGGGTCCCTATGCCTATTGCAATGGTCCTGGATAAGGTCTAAGGTCTGTTTTATTGTCTTCAAAGAGTGTTGTTGAGTATCTTTTTCTTTAACAACTTAAGGGGTGTCTTTAGTCTTAGAGGTAGCCTATAGACTGTATCTGGTTTTCAGATAGGCTTTGTTTGGCGTTTGTTGTACTTTGCAAATGGAATTAATTGCCAATCCTTCAAAAATGGGCACTATCATGTAGTAATCCAGATTTTCCATTTTCTTGAGAAAACATCTGAAGAAATGACAGTATGAGAAAGACAAAAACTGGACAAGGTGAGGTAGTGGCCACTTCCTTTAGACTGGCAGGATTTCTCTCACTCCCCTTGTATCTCTGCAGTTGGCTTCTCTGCCTTTTGTTCTCTACCTGGAGGTGTAGGCAGTTGCCTTTGCAATTGCTTCATTATGGTTTTCTAAGGAATTGGTACTTCATGGTGTCACTGCATATCCTTAAGGAAACTTCCACAGTCCCTGTTTTTAAACATATTAATTTATAAGGATCTGAGAACTCATATGAAAAGGGACATACTATGTACAATCTTAAAGGAAGATGGAGTGACATTATGCTGATTCTTACTGCACCAACTCATATAGTTTTTTGGAGCTCTGACAACGCTTAATTGTGTGCATAATTATGATGGGATCTGTGCATAGTTTTCTTATTAATAATGTGATGTAGATCTATTTCTTTTTTAAAATTTTTAAAGGATTTTATTTGGGGGCATCTGGGTGGCTGAGTCAGTTAAACGCTTGCCTTTGGCTCAGGTCATGATCCCAGGGTCCTGGGATGGAGCCCAACGTCTGGGTTCCTGCTCAGCAGGGAGCCTGCTTCTCCCTCTCCCTCTGCTGTGCTCTCTCTCTCTCCCTCTTTCTCTGTCAAATAAATAAATAAGGTCTTTTTAAAAAAAAGATTTTATTTGTTTATTAGATAGAGACATAAGCATCTGGGAGGGGCAGAGGGACAAGCAGACTCCCCGCTGAGCAGGGAGACTGATAGGGTATGGGGGGCAGGGGTGGTTGATCCCAGGACCCTGATCATGACCTGAACCAAAGTCAGATGCTTAACTGACAGAGCCCCCCAGGTACCCGTATTTAGATATATTTCAAGAAAGTGTAATTAAACCACCAAAGAATGAAAATACCGAAATTTTGGGAAGTTAGCTTTTGGTCAAACCGTGCATGCTGTAAATGTATGGTTCTTTTTTTTTTTTTAAGTAGAAAAAGAAGGGATGAACTTTTACTTCTTAAGTACTTGAAAACATAATTTAATATTTGAATTTGCCTTTATTTTGGCTGATTTAAAAAGGAATTAAACAAAAGTGAACCAAGTGTCTAGTAGATGCCAAGTATTTTTGTCTATAAAGTACATCTTTACTCCAGACACAGTGCGTACCTCCTCTCCTTCTTTCGTAAGGGAATCATAATAGTAATTCCTGTTGTATGGAAACTGTGTTACATCACCTTTTGAAGGCTCTCAACCATTTGCTTGGTTTAGTTTTAAGATTGTATACCTTAAAGTTTAATTAATACAATGACTGAGAAATGTTTGCATTTAGAGGATAAGATTAAAATAATTTGTTCTCCTTGAACCTTGTGGAAGAAAGCTGAATACTACTAAACAAATTACATTGAAGGGATTAAATTAGAAATTGAGCCTTTAAACAAGTCTAAGATAAACTTTACTTATTTGGGGGTTCATAGGAAAGTTAAGCATTCATTTTTTTTTTTAAGCAAAATAGGAATAAATACCGTGTATGTCTGAATCTAAGGTGATCCCAAGACACTAACACTTATTTTCCCAGTCAGAAGTTTTAAATATGTAAAATCCAAAAACATTTGGATAAAATGGTCAGATATTTACCAACATTTTAATTAACAATTAATTGATGTCTACATATGTATTTTAAAATCATATAGTACATAAAATATTAATTAGAAATACTATTTTTCTCTGCTTTTAAAGTTCATTGACTGATTTTATTCAAATTCTTCACTGGTGTCTCTGTCATTACAAAACCCTGTGTTTGGAGTCATTTACCCAGTTTTCTAGGACACGCCATCTCTGCTCAAGTTGTTTTTGGGACGTTGAACTTTTGATACAAATATGATTCTGCCCTTGTAAACATTATGCCAAGCTATGGGATCATTTGCATAATAGTGGGACAGCTATTTTTAAAATTTATCCTATATAGGTGACTACTTTTGATCTCTTGTTCTTTAAAGTAATCTTAATAGGCTTTTACATGATTATATCCAGCATTTGCAATTGTAAGAAATAATTACTAAATCTGTTTGAAATTTTTGCTCAAAAGAACAGATTTTGTTGGGGCACCTGGGTGATTCAGTTGGTTCCGGGTCAGATTCTTGATTTCAGCTCGGGTCATGATCTCAGGGTCATGAGACGGAGGCCAGCATCCAGCATCAGGCTCTGTGCTCAGCTCAGTCTGCTTAAGAATCCCTTCCTTCTCCCTCTGCCGCTCCCCACTCCCACTCTTTCTCACTCTCAAATAAATAAATATTTTTAAAAATACCAGATTTTGTTAAATTTCAACTGTAAGGGTTTAAAACTATTAATGATGAAGGTTATTTCAGCCTAGTACATTTTCTCCAAGCCAACCTTTGTTTTACATAATAATGTGATACTGAGATTTAGATAAAAATATGACTATGAGGGGCACTTGAGTGGCTCAGTCAGTTAAGCATCTGCCTTCGGCTTGGGTCCTGATCCCAGGGTCCTGGGATCGAGCCCCACATCAGCTCTGTGCATGGCAGGGAGTCCGCTTCTCCCTCTGCCCCTCCCTGGCAGCAACCTGCACATGCTTGTTCTCTCTCTCTGAAATTAATAAACAAAATCTTAAAAAAAAAAAATTGACTGTGAGGTGATTTGCTCTTCTCTGGGAAATATTCTTGGGAGTGGAAAAAAATGTGCCTCATTTTTGAACATATAAGATACTCACTTTCTTTTTCTTCTGCTTTTCCAGGTTATTCCTTAAATCTTTGCTAGTAAAGTACAATAAAATGTAATAAGGCAGATACCCTGGGGGAGGGTAGGGGGAGCTCTTATTTAATGGAAAGTCAAGGCAATGTTATTAATATTATGAGATTGTTTTTTCTTATCCTAGTGCATATCACTATTATTAACATACCTATTTCTTAAAGAAATATTCTTATAACAAAGATAACAAGTGAGTAGATAAAAGGATATACTACACGGTACACATTTTCTGTGAATGTTCCCATAGTTGTATAATACTTACTATGTGAGATTTTATTAGGAGGTAGCAGTTAATTTGGCAGGAGATGTTGTCCTTGTCATTTCCTGATAACCATGAACTACACTATTAACCACAAACTGCAGAAGATGAGAACAGCTGGTGTTTTTATAACAGAGGGTGATGAGGGAGATGAGAGAGCTTGGGAATATGAGAGGATTAGAATTTATCATGCTTAATGGTTTCTGTCTTGGTTATTCAATATAATGCCCACTTTTAAGAATTTAAGAAAAATGAAGTAAATATTATTATTTTCATATCACCTATGAAAAAATCTAGTATTGAAACATTTTGCAGGGAGGGATAACTCACTTTTACTCTGGGGCTTCCAGCTTTGTATGAAAAAAGCTATGTCATTAATATACCAAAAATAGGATAATTCAGTACTACGCGTAATAGCAATAAATTGGTATCGCACCAATGAAAATAATGATGAATTATCATTTTTATCTCTTAACAGTTGAAAGAGTGGAACGAGAAAACCTTTCAGACTATTGTGTTCTGGGCCAGCGACCAATGCATTTACCAAATATGAACCAGCTGGCATCCTTGGGGAAAACCAACGAACAGTCTCCTCATAGCCAAATCCACCACAGTACTCCAATCCGAAACCAAGTGCCCGCATTACAGCCCATCATGAGCCCTGGTCTTCTTTCTCCCCAGCTCAGTCCACAACTTGTTAGGCAACAAATAGCCATGGCCCATCTGATAAACCAACAGATTGCTGTTAGCCGGCTCCTGGCTCACCAGCATCCTCAAGCCATCAACCAGCAGTTCCTGAACCATCCGCCGATTCCCAGAGCAGTTAAGCCAGAGCCAACCAACTCTTCCGTAGAAGTGTCTCCAGATATCTACCAGCAAGTCAGAGATGAGCTGAAGAGGGCAAGTGTGTCCCAAGCTGTCTTTGCAAGAGTGGCATTCAACCGCACACAGGTATGATTAGCATTGAACATGGTAATTGGTGGTTAAGAATAATACTGAGGACAGAGTTGTGACATCTTTTTTATCCCTTTCAAAAGAATGTTTATGGATCTCAGAGCACTCAGGATTAACTAATAATCCTTAGTTTGGGAAATACTGTCATCATTGATCCATATATGACCTTATAATTAACTAATTTCAGTAGGGTAATAAACATCTGTGAACCTACCACCCACCTCAGGACCCAATGTTACCAGTGACTTGGGCCTATGTGCTCCTCTCTTCCTTTATCTTCTCCATTGGCTTTTCCCCAGGTACAACCCCCATCTTGAATTTTGTGGTTATCATTCACTTGTTTTTTAAAAACTGTTCTAAAACTATTTATGCATATGCAATCTATTATTTGCTTCATTTTTTAACTTCATAAAAAGTATCATCAGTGTCATAATTTCTGTAATTAAAAAAAAAAACCTTTCAAAATATATGTTAAAGTTAAGATATTGATAAAATGGTAATGGATAGTTTACTCATATTTTTTGATGTTTTGGGAGAATTACATGTTAATGTAATACTAAAGGATAAAAAAAGATAAACAGTTTATTTATGTATATCTTGTTTTATTGAGCTCCTCGGCTCAGAGTTTCTGATTCCATAGTCCAGGGTAGTACCTGGAAATGTGCATTTGTATCCAAGTCCCAGATGATTCTGAAGCCACTGGCCTGGGAGTCATACTTTGAAAACCACTAATTTAGTCCTTATATGAATAACAAAAAAATTAAAATGCTGATCTCAAGGAACTAATGACCTGGTAATTTAAAAAAATGTATTTGGATAACGAAAGTAAAAATGAGAAGTCATGTGAATAGTGTAGGAGAAGAACTGTGGTTGTAGTGGGTTATAGCTCCATGAGGAGCTGGGGGTAGGGAATCCTTACGGGAGGATGAACATAGTGCTTTTAAGAGGACAGTAGGTTGAAGTTTGTCACCCTCCTAATTGCAAGGCAGGAAGCCAAGCTCTGTGCAGATGCAGAGATGAAAAAGAGTGTGGGCCAACACATTTGTAAACACCTGACTTGAGTATTAAGTTGCTGGAAAGTTAGACCTTGAAGGATAAATGGAATTTAACAGGAAAAGATGGAAAAGAATGGTATTTTAGGCTAAAGGAATTAACGAGAAAAGTGCCAAGTCAGGCAAGTTTGAGAATAGTTGGTAGTCGATAGCAAAGCCAGATAATAAAATTTAAAAGGTGGAAACAGATCAAAAAATGTCTTAGGGCCATGCTAGGAACTTTGAACTTTCGTAGGGCACTGGAAACCACTGGAGGTCTTATGTAGGAATATGTTGTGATCCAATAATCAGAATTGGATCTCATGATAGCAGGAGGGTAGCAATACCATTTAGAAAGCAGCCCTAAGTGTCCAGCTGAAATGTGTAGAAGTTTTGAACTAGGCTGGTGGTGGTAAAACAGAGTACAGAGTCAGGAAGCACTGTGGAAATACAGTTGACAGAAAGGGTAACCACCATAATGCCATAACTGAGAATAAATCTGTAATTACTTCAAGTATCAAGAACATTGAAAGAGATGGTTGGTGTAAGTTTTGTGTGATTACTGTGGATTAGGCTGTTTTGACCCTGAAGTGCTGGCCGATTTCTTAAATGAAGGGATGCAGAAGTCATTGAAAATATGAGTTTGGTGCTAAAAAGAATTTTTAGAGAGGAGAAATTGATGAGATGAGATTGATGAGATTGATGGAGAAAGAGATGAGAAATTTATTGACAGAGCCTGAGATTTAGAGAGTTGGGAGAAGGAGGAGAAAAAAACCATCACCACTCCACTCTCCTGGAAAAGAGACAGAAGAAATGCCGTAGAGGTGGGAGCAGGTGTGGATGGAAGGATGAGGAGGTAGTAGTTGAGAGCACAGAGAACATGAGCAGAGTTTTCAGGAGACTTGTCCATGTGTGCAAGACTGGGACATCTGGGAGCAAGAAGCTTGAACTATGCCATGAAATTTGGTGCTTGGTTGGGAGAGATCTTTGGCAAACTTAGAGTATAATTTCATTAGAGTGGTGAAGGCAGTAGGCAGTAGCCAGAACTTAGGAGTTAAGGAGTGACTAACCGTTGACGATACAGAAGCAAGGCTGCAAATTACTCTTTCCAGGAGCTGGTGTTGAAAAGGAGGCCAGAAGTGTGTTGACAGTTTGAATGTGATGGGGCTTCAATCCGAGATCGAAGGAATTACCCAGTAGTTTGGGATCTCAGCTTAAGTTAACAGGCATGAACTAGTGATGGAACCAAGCACTGTGGTTTGGTAAGAGACTCCAGGAATGTTGGAACCAGGGGACTGGGAGAAGGGAAGAAGCACAGTGGGGCTGTTTGAGGTTTGGTGCTGACAGATTAGGTATGGCAGTAGACCAAGAGGGGGAAATCTCTTGCTCCCTTGACTCTTAGCTAATTTATACATTCTATTATTGACAGACTCAGTTGACATCTTTAAAAAACGCATTTGGAGGTTCACAGAGATCTGCACATGTTCCAGATAGCACCCTATGACTTCTTTTTTTGACTGAAAGCACTCAAGCAGCATTTGTGCGTGTCTGCAGTTATCTGAAGTCGTGTTATGAAAATCTCCGGTTCTTTTGAGCAAGTCTGTTGCATGTTATTGCTAAATACAAAGTGGAAGGGTGCATCTTTTAGTCTTTATTTTGCGTTGTGTGTGTGTGTGTGTGTGCTCTTTCATCTATCATTCATGTGCATGAATGGGCATTTCATAGCTAGCCAACGTTTTATTGCCTGGTTATATATACAGTTCCTTTGGCTAAGGATAAAACTGAAAGCATGGTTGGATTTTAGAATCAAATACAGTATACATTTTATCCACATAGCACAAAGCCTTGGAGAGGACTCACAGAGAGACTAGACAAAAGACAAACCGTGCTGGTGTGAGGGTAGGCTCTGCCAAGGCCCTCGGATCTTGGAGGTCTGACTTGTCCTGCACAGTCCTTTTTGTCTATTTTTATGGATTAATGATTTTTCTTTGGCAGTGCCATCGTTCAAGTGCCAAGTTATAAAAGGTCTAATTGAAGCATGGAACACATTTTATTATTTTCCTCCTGCCATTAAATTTGTAAGATGGCTACACCCAGAAAGGAACATTCACTTTCAATCAACATGAGTTTGAGTTCATGGGCCAGCCTTGAGGATATCAAATGGAAACTGCATAGGAATGTATGAGTATTTCCTTTTAAAATTCTGCTTTTAATTTGGGAAAGCTTTTCATCCCTCTGGGATCATAACCTGTTGTGTATAAAGCCCAACCTAATCAAGGTAGATGGTATTGACAGAATGACATAGTTTGAACTTAAGCTGGAGGTCAGCAGGCAGATTGTTTTTGCTGCATATACTGTAGTCACTAACAGCAAGGTTGGACAGCTGGGTTTCACCAGCAGAATCATTAAATGGAAAATATGGTGTACTGTGCTCCATGAAACCAACCATGGATTTTCCAAACGTTAGGCTTTTTTGAGTGGAATCAGACATTGATGGGTGATACAATGATTTGCTAGCTATAATAAACACAAATTAACTTCATAGATAGAACATAAATCAACAGTTAACCTTTGGGTAGAAAAGAATCTCAACATTTTTTTTCCTCAAAGCAAACAGGATTAGAACCTCTTCTTTTAGATGGATACCCAAGGCCAGGATCAGTCTTGTACTTAGTTGCTTTACTGATAGGTCATATATCTTTAGTCCACTGAATATTTTCTTTTTTAAGATTTTATTTATTTATTTGAGACAGAGAGAGAGTGTATGCATACATGCATGAGCAGGAGGGGAGGGGCAGAGGCAGAGGGAGAAGCAGACTCCCCGCTGAATGGGAAACCTTATGAGGGGCTTGATTCTAGGACCCCGAGATCATGACCTGAGCTGAAGGCAGATGCTTAACCCACTGAGCCACCCAGGGCTCCCCCACTGAATATTTTCTAGAAATAGTTTATGATCTCTATTATTCATTTATTACCAAATTCAAGAAGAAGTAACTGTATTTGTCACCCTATAGTTCACATTCCTTGTTTTGTGCTTAATGATTGGACTAGTAATAACCAGTAATTAGACAGAGAGAGAAAGTCTATGTGTATAGAACAAAATCACATGTATAACATTCATAAATGAAGCTAAAACTAAAAAATAGAATCAGGGACACCTGGGTGTCTCAGTCGTTAAGCATCTGCCTTTGGCTTAGGTCATGATCCCAGGGTCCTGGGATGGAGCCCCTCATCGGGCTCCCCACTCTACGACAAGCCTGCTTCTCCTTCTCCCTTTCTCTCTCCCCCTGCTTGTGTTCTGTCTTTCACTGTGTCTCTCTCTGTCAAATAAAAGAATAAAATCTTAAACAAATAAAAAATAAAGCAATAAAGCATCAGCCTAGTTTGTCATGTTTGAAACTTCCTGATGAAGAACTCAAATTCATAATAAACAGCATTTGAAAATGCCACTTTTCCAAAGAGAAACTATTAATGACTGTTTATATCTGATCCTTTGCCCCTGTGAGTGTATCATCTGGTGATATAAAATAGCACAACTGAGGGAATAGTGCTATATTTCCAAGAGCTTGCTTTAATACATTTTTATGTTAATCAGTGTGTCCTGAGATCCTGCGGTGCTAGGATATCACGTCTTCGGCTTGGGCTCGAGGTGAGGGAGTTCTAGATGCAGGGTACAGCAGAGCTTCATTGACTGTGCCATCCGGATGCTAGAAGCCTGTTCTTGTCATTATGACCTTACGTAAAATATATTCTGAGCACCATCCCTTTCTTCTTTATTAGTCTTTTGGAGGAAGAGGTTAACCCCACTTTTTGGGTCTCTGAGGATTTTATGACAAATGAGACATAAGATGTGTTCTGACCTGGTCATCAATTTTCAGGCAGTCCTGTGGTATATTTCTAAGCATTTCTGTTACCTGTGGTCACAGAGTGAGGTGGCGTGGTCAGTACACCTGAGGAGGCTGAGGC